AGCCCAGGATCACTTTGGATCACTCAGCTCTACAGCAATTGAGAGGATGGACTGGAAACAAATCAATCCCCCAAACGCTTATGTCACTGGGCAACTCCTGGAATACCCTCATTTTTAATACGACATAGTATTCTGACTTCCTTTCTCTTATAAAGCCTATAGTAAAATAAATAAACAAAGGGCAGGAGGACTGATCAGGGCTATAGAGCCCCACACAAGAAAAGATTACAGGTGAATTAACTTATGGAAAAGAATATACACCTTTAGGTCTATAAAAATCACACACAAGATGGCAAGCAGGAAACAACTACACACCATTATCCAGAAAACACACTGGAAAGCAGCAAATGAAAGTATGAAAGTGATCAGGCAGAAGCTATCAAAGAAACATACGGCACAGTAAAATACTGGAACTCCTGGCACAGGATGCTGCAGAATCCCCCCAAAAAACACCAAGAAATTGTAACTGCAGCTAAGACCCCAGCTCAAGTCCTAGTCTGACTCTCTCCATTCTTTCACCATCAAAGAACATGTATTTTTATTGGCTAGTATGAAACACCACAAAAAACTGGTCATGTTTAAGCTGGCATTTCCTGATCAGCACGTCTGAGATCAAATGCTTTATTTTTTAAGAAATGTTTTATGTTTTCGCATTTATTGTTTTAATATATTTCCATTTATTAAAGATGTAATTAACAAGCTTTTTAACTTGAACAGAATATCTCAAAAATTATGGGTTAATAAAATTTATGCTAATAAACCCATAACACAGTAAGGAGAGTATTACTGTAGATAAATTAATTTGTACAATTAAACCATTATGAAGTACAGATCATTTTCAATAATGCTCGCAGACAGCTATCAAAGAAGCATAATAATTATCAACAAAATTCTTTTTAGAAAGCATTCTTTCAAATTACGCTTTCCTGGAATTAACACACTGCCAAAAATGCACAAATCATTTGGAAAGCGAGAACTGCGTTGGACAAAAAACCACCACAGTTTAAACAACATATACCTCATGATGTCACTAAAGCATTTTTAGCTGTGTGGTTTATTAAGATAGAAACCTCATTTTTTTCTCTGCAATATGAATTTATTTTCCATGCAAATGTTTTCAATTGAAAATGTTTTATTACATGAAAGCTTGCAGTAATAATTTCTGTTAAATACAGAAAAAAATTTTAAAATGTGACATTTTTCTTAGAAAAATGTTGTGACAAGATTTAGGCAAAACAGATCTATTTCCTTAGGAATTGGTGTATTTTCTGCTATAAAACAGCTCAAATTTTCTACGCTTTATACAAGATGAAATATGATTTACACATGAAATGTGTAAGTTCTCGTATACCCAGCAACTGTGTTCATTTCACAAAGTAAAAAAACCATAGTCCTACAGCATCAACAACTGCATAGCATACAGCTATCACCTCTGTCTTTCCTACTGACCATGTCCACACCATTTCCTATTCCATGCCAAAAGACTTTGAAAATTTTCCTTAGTTATTAATGAGATTTAGAGTCTTAACTAGATGATTTTGATTCATTACTCATGCAATGAATGTTGAGCTAGTTGCTTCAAATGACTCCAGGTAGAACAATTTTATATTAGAAACTGCTGCAGCAACTGATTTTTTTTTTTTTTGCAAACTTTGCTTCCAATAAACCTGAGCACTTCAAGCCACATAGTTCAAAACATCTAAAGATTTGAAATACCTCTTATTTTGATTTCTTTTTTTTTTTTTTATATACTGGAAAAGATGTTCCACTTACTTTGTAGGACTAGAGTTGAAGTCTATTACTTTAAAATCAAATTCATAGTTGAAAAAACCACAACTTTTTTTTTCCTCCCATCTCTAAGATCACAAGCGTAACTAGCTCAGGATGTTACAATATTAAAAAACATTGTGAAAAGTAACAGAACAAGTTGACACAGTTTCAAATGTGACATTTAAAACAGCAATATTGCTTTTCCAATTTTTAACTCTTGAAGAAAAAAATAAACTGAAGTATTTCCTGAAAATTTTAGTCAAACTTGCTTTTATGTTTGCAAAGTTGAAAGAATATAGCTATAGAATGCCTGAAATGTTTATGCTGATGTTTGAAAATTTTTATAAAGTCTTCTCATTTAACATTTACATTGTAATCTGAAATTTTTACATTTATCACCCTAGCCTCAGTATCTGACTTACAATTAATAAGCAAAGTTAAAACCCAATGTTTTTTAGACTACAAAGTTACAATTAAAATACTTGAAACTAAGTGACAAAAACACCCATTTCGGTGAGATCTTAACGGTTTTATTCACAAAATAAACAGCTTTGCCTTTGCAAAGGAAGACTTTAACAGAAAGACTCAATGCAATAGTTATAAAAAAGTGGTACTGAAAATTTGAAAAAATCTGATAAAGTTTACAAATGCAAACTGTCACTTTGTACAAAATCTTTTTTTTAAAGAAAGTTCAGTAATAGATTTTAAAACATGGTTTCAACAGCTCAGAAATGCACATTTATTTCAAACTCTGGTTAGGTATTACTTTCGTCTATGTGGGGAATTCTCCCTTCGTCTGTCCTCCTTCTTTCTGGATTCTCTGTACTGGTCACAGTAACGGTTGTACTTCTCTTGGTATTTTTCTGAACCATTTCTGTATCGGTCGTCTTGGTCCTCCTCTCTTGGACTTGAGTTATTATGGGCTCTCTCTCCAGATTTTGATCTTTCCCTTTTTCTACTGCGATGTCCATTATCTTTGCTCCAGTGTCTGTAACTTTCATCATCAGACAGAGAAGCTCTTCTCTCTGCTTTCTTCGGTTTTGAATTACTGTGTTTATTTTCTAGATCCTTACTTCTTTCATGGTTCCTGTCCTTTCCACTGTGGTAACTGTCTCTGCCATTGGACTCGTCTCTGTGATATTTTGATACGTCATCTCTCCTGTGTGATTCTCTCACGTTTCGGTGATTTCTTTCTGATTTGCTCTCAGTATCACTTCTTTCCTCTTGCTGCCTCCTTCCCATTTTCTTTTCAAGTGATTTCCTTCTCCTTTCTTGTTTTTTCCCAGAAACTTTATCAGATTCTCTATTTTTCTTTTGCATTCTCTTTCTTTTGGCTTTAGGAACATCTGAAATTATGACAAATTATGGGAATAAGGTTACATTTTAATTTATTACATCTAACTTGTTAGACTACATAGAAAGTTCTAAAGAGTTACTTTGTCAGAAAACTTTTGTGGGTCTGTACCCGGACAAAGGTTTCAAAGCAATGAGCTTTGATTTTATTGCTACCTCCACCCTCAACAGAATGTCTCATGCAATGGAGGAAAATTAATCCATTCTTGAATTGAGCAGGTACTGATTATTTTTAAATGTCTGTATGCATTACAGGATTTTTATTTTACATAAAGAGAAATTCTCCATAAGTGTGAACTATCAAGACCAAGACTAGTTTCCATTTTTCCTCTAACTTTCAATGTTTCTCAGTAACTTCACTGTTTAACAAAAGAACCTCATGTTAACAAAAAGCAAGGTCACAACACATCATCCCAAAACCTTAAGAGCATACAAACAGGAAATTAGGGAATAGCCTTCTGCATTTCATCCCATTTGCAATACCTACTCATGTATGAAGAACATGATGCAGCTTAAACCAAAAAAACTTCTTCAGCTTACAAAAACCCAACAAACCTGCACTTGAACACAAAACATTACTAAGCAGTCATGCCAGTGTTAACAGAGTAACTCATTAAATGGGAAACTGATGTAAGATCTGCAAACCTGTTGATCAAGAATTTTTTGGTTATGTAAGATATGCTTTCATATTTGAAAAGATTTGAAATTCCACATACTGACAAAACTCCAATAACCTTGCTCTCCCCCGCCCCTTCCCAGTTAATTGCTTAAGAGGAAACAACTCAAATTTGTACAGATGTGGCTGCCACTCGAGTATGCATCAGCAGGACTTTTATCCCTTCCCTCTCTGCAAGTGATGCCTGACTTTTGAGAACCTCTAGCCATCACCATGCTCTTGTTGACTCAATACAAAAGGACCAGGCATAGGCTGTAAAAGTCATATATCAAAGCACTCTCACAATTTTTTTTTTTTTTTAAGAAAGATCACCTTTCCCAGACAATTCAGTCTCTTAAAATCATTTGCTTTTCCAATTACTTCCTGGAAAAGCTTATCAGTCAATGGAGATTAAAAGCAGCAGATGGAGAAAAATCTCCAACACTATCCTCTGAGGAAACAGAGGCATGCTGAAATGGCTTGAGATAGTGGTACCACAGCAACATAACAATGGCTCTTTGGCTCATTTTCAGGAGAAATACTGCCAGCTTTGTCAACAATTCAAGATTAAAACTTGTGTATTTCTAAATGCACAGTAGTGCTCATGTCAGTGGAAGAAGCCTTACTCTTCCTGTTTGCTCTTTATAAGGAACATCTAGATTTCACTCGACAGTATTTATCAGTAAACGCTGAAGTTACAGCCATTTAGAATAACCATCAATTCACCTTACTGTATGAACTGTAGTATCGTATCAGCTGTTTCTAATCACTTTTTGATGATACTATAGCCATAAACTGATGTAATAGTACATCAAATATCTGTGTTCTACAGCAGCTGGTTAGTCTCATGTCTGAACTAAGGCTTCCTGGCATTCTGAAAAAAATGTGATGATTGATCACTTCAGATAGATTTTAATACATTAAGTTTTTTCAACAGTATTTTCCCTATTATTTTACATCCACCAAAATGCAGAAAAAGACCTGAGAAAGTAAATACAAAGGAACAAGCTGCTTTGATAACCGACAAATTTCATTCTCTGCTTGTCCTGTTTTGGTTGGCATGACCTCTCCAGAGCACTGCTGAGCTAGGTGGTGAAGTTCCACACATTAACTGTCACTAAGACAGCAATCTCTAATTTAGCTCTATGCTCAATTTCTAATCAGCAGTTTTTCTATTTTCTCTTATATATTGCACTGTTAAAACACTGAAATACTGTAGCACATTCCTCTGAGAAATGGGTTTCAACTCTACCAAGTTATTTTAAAGATTTAAAAAGCTGCAAACACAGGAAGGCTTGGAGTTATAACAGTAATGGACCTCAACCAAGTTTACCATTGAAGAATATAGCTGTATTTAAGTACACAAGAACCGGGGGGGCGGGGGCGGTGTGTGAAACCAGGCTGCAAAGATATCAAAATGCAAGTTTTAATGAATGTGTTCCTGAGTGGAGAAAGGACAAGTAGTAAAAGGGAAGATCCTAAACTTACAAGACTAAAGTGTTCTTACTAGCAGACTGCAGACTCAGTTGGTTTGTCACTAAGGACTAACCTCTCTGGTTCCTATCAAGCAGCTCAGCAGAGCTGCAGCTGTCTATGCAGGAGCCATCTGGCTCTTTGCTGAACTAACACCTCCTCTGACCCTGTTTAACTGTGCCCTCCTCCAGTGCTTTGTTGTCATTCATGTGATTAATGCGATGACACACAAGTCAGATGTTGTACAGTAAGATTGCAATGGAGAACAAAAATGCATTTCCAAAGCATGAGCGGTTCAC